CTTCGGGAAACGGGTGGAACGGGTGGAGTCGGAGTCGAGGAGGCCAGGACTCCAAGCGACCCCTCCTGCGAGTTTACACCAACCCATCTGTGGTTTTCCATCTGGGAGACTTGACGCCTGGGAACATCCCTGACCCGCGGCCAGATCCAGGGGCAAGAGTTCCCCCCAGAGGCCAGAGCAGGACTTAGGCCATAAGTCCTGGGATCCTGGGCTCGGCTGGCACCTCACCCCATAGCCCCTCTGTTGTGCCCAGGCCTCATGTGGCTCCTCTGCCCCAGGAAGGGCAAGGACCTTTGGGGAGGAGGCAGCCTGCCCCAGCCTTACCCTGCCACTTGGTGGTTTCTTGGGCAAGTCACTGGATCTGTTGGGCCTCCCTGTAACTCACCCAACCCTTGGGTTGCTGGGACAACCCGAGCTTTCCCAGGTGCAGGCCGGGACCCTGGGGGTGGCTGGGACCTGGGACAGCAGCCAGGGATGTTGGCTCCTTCTCCAAGGAGCCCCAGCTTGCAGGAGTGGTCTGCCTCGCTGTGGCTGCATCCAGCTGTGGGGCGCACTGACACCCAGAGCTGGAAACCTGGTGGGGGATGGGGGTCGTGGCCCCAAAGGAGCTTCAGGCTGTGGGGTCCATGGCTAGCCTTGCACCTGGAGTAAGAGTCCACCTGTAGGAGGGAGTGACAGGACCTCAGCCTCTGGGCCTTTCCTAGGGAGTCGTGGCTCTTTAAGGCCCTGGAGGCCCGGGACACAGGGCTCGGGAACTGGGAGCTAGCCGGGCTATTCCTCAGCTGGGCCGGCCTCCCAGCTGGCCCTGGTCCCCAACTGGACTGTCCTGGGGTGAGCCTGGCCCTCTGCTGTGCACCAGCGGTGAGGTGTTGGGGGTCTGCAGGGCAGTGGTGTCCCAAGGGGAGTTTGGTGCTGCTCAGCAGGACCTCACTGAGTCTCCGCGCCCGAGGAGCACTGTCACCCACTTCAAACAGGTCCCGAAACCTTGGCCAGGCCGCACAGCTGGTCAGTGGCTGAGGTTTCTGCTCAAGTCATTCTGGCCCCAGAGCCCAGCCCAGGCCTTAGCCCTGCCCTGCGTCCTCACAACCAATCATCCGTAGTGTTTGCCCCTCAATGCCTACTTTTTAAAAATATATATATTTTTTATTGATTTCAAAGAGGAAGAGAGATAGAACCATCAATGATGAGAATCACTGATTGGCTGCCTCCTGCACACCCCCTACTGGGGATCGAGTCCACAACCTGACCATGTGCCCTTGACTGGAATTGAACCCAGGACCCTTCAGTCCACAGGCTGGTTGATGCTTTATCTATTGAGCCAAACCAGCTAAGGCTCTAAATGTCTACTTTTAATGACTCTGCAGCCTGCCCACCCGGCCCTCCAGGCAGCCTCTTCTAGAGAAAGGTGCTCCCTCCAGGAAGGATAGAGGGCCCAGTGTGGGGGTTAATGGGCCTGAAATCACCCCCACACACAAACACAGCCCCAAGTGAGCCCCAGGTGGGCAGCAGAGGCCTGCCTGACTGCTCCCGCTCACGGCCCACCCTCCACCCCTCCCTCCAGACAATGAGTTTCCAGGTGACAGGCCTGGGCCTGGACAAGATGAAGCTGGACAGTCCCCAGTCCTTCCTGGACCAGGAGGAGGTGGAGGAGGCTGAGGACCGGCAGCTGCTGGAGCCGGAGGCTTGGAGGACCTACACAGCACGCCGCAATGCGCTGCGGGAGTTCCTGACCTGCGACCTGAGCCCCCACCTGCTGAAGCGCCACCACGCTCGCATGGAGCTGCTGAGGAAGTGCTCCTACCACATCGAGATCCTCCCCAAGCACCTGGCCCTGGGCGACCAGAACCCGCTGGTGCTGCCCAGCACCATGTTCCAGCTCATCGACCCCTGGAAGTTCCAGCGCATGAAGAAGGTGGGCACCGCGCAGACCAAGATCCAGCTCCTGCTGCTCGGAGACCTGCTGGAGCAGCTGGACCACGGCCGTGCCCAGCTGGATGCCCTGCTCGAGTCGCCTGACCCTCGGCCCTTCCTGGCGGGCTGGGCACTCGTGGAACAGCGGCTGGCAGACCTGTCGGCCGTCATGGACAACTTCCTGGCCATGATGGTGCCAGGGCGTCTGCATATCAAGCACCGCCTGGTGTCTGATGTTGGCGCCACCAAGATCCCGCACATCCGGCTCATGCTCAGCACCAAGATGCCCGTCATGTTCGATCGCAAGGAGTCGGTGGCCCACCAGGACTGGGTCACCCTGCGCTGGTTTGTCACCATCCAGCCAGCGATGCCGGAACAGTTCGAACTGCGCTTCAAGCTGCTGGACCCACGGACACAGCAGGAGTACCTGCAGCGCGGCATCATCCCCGTGGCCGCCTGCACTTTCGACGTCCACAACCTGCTGCCCAACCGTGTCTACAAGTTCACCGTCAAGAGGGCAGAAAGCTACACGCTGGTCTATGAGCCCTGGCGGGACAGCCTCACACTGCAGACCAGGCCGGGGCCCCCCGAAGGGCCGCCCCCCCGTCGGCTGGGCAAGCCGGGCCGCCCCTGACTGCAGCTTCCGAGAGATGGTTTTCTAGTATTTATCCACTAATAAAGAGGAGTATAAACGCACACACACAATGAAAGAAGCAAACCTACTTCCGTCCTGAGGGCAGCGGCAGCCACATGGGTATTTCTCCTGACTTGGCCCAAGCACTCCCACGAGCCCCAGGCCCCGCAGCTCCTGCTCCCTTTTCGGGGGGCGGGGGCCCCAGGCTGGACCTTCCAGGACAGCTGGCCCCAGAGCAAGAAGCGCCAGCCCTGGCACCTGGATGCCACCTCCAGCATGACAGCTGCCCCAGGGGCTCGGCCACATCAGCTCCAGCCCACCCCCCCCCCCCCCGTCACAATAACCAGCCATGTGACCTCAGCACAGGCTCTGGCCACCTTTCCTCCCTCCTAGGCCAGGTTCCCCAGGGGGACAATCCCCCAGGTCCTGCCCAGACCCCACAGGGGCAGTCATGGCCCATCACTCTCACCCCAGCTTTATCAGGATCAGAGTGCCTGAGGCCAAAAGGACATTTTATTTTTAAAATGACAATAAAAGTCTTATCTTTCCCCCAAATGAAGCTGAAGTTCATCGGCACCCCATCCGGAGGTGGGTGAGGGTCCCAGGAAAGGGCGCCTGGCAGGGGGCATCCCCAGCACACAGGCCAGCATAAGGACTCTTGGGAGGTGGCACTCCCTCCAGCCCATTGGCCCTCCCCACCAACTCCTCTGTCCAGCCCCCTGTGGGTGACCACCCCCTTGATGTTGCCTTGATAGTCTGCCCTTGCCCTGCAGTGGTCCTGTGACCCCGGGCGCCCAGCAGTGCCCCTCCCCGTGCGCACGCTCACTCTGACAAAGGTAATATGGGCGTCAGTGTCCACCTGCTCCTGCGGCTTGGACACCAGCTCCAGGAGGGACAGCCCTATGTCCCTGGCCATGGCTGAGGAGGATGGTCAGCACAGGTAACCACGTGGTCACTGGAGAATCGTGTGGTCAGGGATGATGGGAAACAGCCCCTCTCCCACTGGCTGAGAAGTGGTTTGGTGAAGGGGGTCCCCAACTCTGCCGGAGAAGCCCCAGCACCGCCCCTCAGCATGGACAGGGTGCTCTTACAGGTGGGGATTTAGCCCGGGGAGGGCTCCTCTCCCAGGCCTGTCCCACTGTGTGCCCCGCGCTCTGGCCTCGTGTGCTATGGGCGCACTCCTGCATGTCCTGCAGGGGTCCCAGGGCCCAGGCCTCATGCTCCTCAGAAATGGAGGGAACAGGGGTAAGAGCAGGCCAGGGACCAGGGACTGGGGTTTGTGCTGAGTCATACCAGTCCAACAGAGGGCCTGGCTGGAGTGGGGTTCACCAAGGGAGGTGCATGGGGGTACGCAGCTCATTCTGTGTCTCCTGCTGGAGGCCTGGCTTGCGCCCTCACCCAGAAAGGCAGCTGCCCAGAGGCCACAGGTCCTACTCTGGAAGCAGCTCTGCTGCACCTACTAAGTACAGCCCTTGAGGCCAGGACGCTGGTCTGTGCCCGACCCGCCTCAGCCTCACCTCTACCACGTAGCTGCCTCGCCCCCGCCCCCCAGCCCCCTGATTCCTACAGCACACTTGGGGTTTCAACGCCTCTTCCTCTGGGAAGCCCTCCCTGACTCCAGGTTGGTAAGGTCTTAACTCCCTGCCTCAGACACCTGTTCATCTCTCCTTAAGCGTTTTTCACAAGATTCGGTCAAGTTTCTCAATGCTTGGAGGAGGCTGCCATGGAGGAGGCCTCTTCCAGGTAGGGCCCATCGACTCACTTTGGGCCTCGCAGTGAACACATGGTACACAAAGGCCTGCCACGTCTCGGTCTCTCTGTGACCTCCCGACCCATCCACTCCCAGGGCCCCGGCCACACCTTGCTTTTCCCACAGCTGCTCTACGGGGTGGGGGTGGGAGGCCTGGGGGCTCAGCCACACAAGGGGAATGAGGAGCCCAGGTCAATCTCCAGGGGCCATGCAGTGCCCAAGGTCCTGGGTGGCACCGGGCCCGCTGGCAGCCTTGGGGACTTTGGACCTAGACTGTGGGCCTAAGATCAGCGTTCAGAGGCTGGGCACACCTGCAACACCTGAACACAGCTCACGGCGTGGCCTCGCCCTCCCGGTTCCAGCTTCCTCGGCGCTGGCAGAGGACCCTCAGCCGGCGGTGTCCTCAGTGCTCCCCGTGCTCCCCACCCAGCACCTGCCACAAGGGCTTGACAGCCTCACAGCCCGAGGAAGGGCTACCCTCTGTGCCCCCAGACAGGCCTCAAAACACCCAGGGGTGAGAAAGCAGAGTGGCCTTTATAACAAAGTTAATGTTCAATCATATAATAGTCCAAGAAAAGATACAAAATTGGAATGTAGAGATTTGATTTGTAGAAAACTTCAGGAAACAGACCCATCCCGTGGTCCCGCAGCAAGGCCACGGGGGCTGCCCTCCTAGGACACACAACTTTGCAGCCCCAGCCCGTGGGGAACATCACCCCGAGACCCAGGTCGGAGCTGCCTCAGGGCGGACTCGGCGGGGGGCCAGAGGCTTCCAGAGAAGGCAGAACACAATGCCTCCTGACACACCAGGTGGGCAGGCTGTCCGGACCTGACCCACCCGCGGAGTGGGGGCTGAGGGGG